ATGGCCAGGAGTCCCAGGCTCAGGAGATTCAATATTTATTTTACACCTCCACCTGCCCCCACACACCAGCATCATCCCCCCTAACTTCACATCTGGGTGCTCTGCACCTTCACGCTGCATCTCTGGATGCTAGCGCACCCTGGCTTGTGATCTCCTGTAGCAGGAAGAGCCTGTCTCCTTGTGTGAAACAGAAAAGGGGCCCATAGGTGTGGCCGCGCTCTTCTCTCCCAAACTCCCCACTTTATGGCATAGGCCCACTGCAGGTTGATTCCACCCCACAGAGGGCGAAGGAATGACCCAGAAGCTTTGCCTTCTTCCATGGTGACCATGGAGACCTCCTCCTGGTGACCATGGTGGCCTGAGCTTGAAGCTGGGTGGAGGTAATCTAGCTCACCTTTATCCAGAAAGTGATCGTAGCAAGCAAAGGGGCATTTGCCAGGGGCTGTGCAGTGTGATCAGCTCCACACTGTAGACCACACAGCCACGTGGGAGCGAGTGAGAAAGCCAGAAAGGCTTGCTGCTCCAGGTCACAAAGGTAGCAGAAGGCAGGCCCTTAATCCCTGCCCAAAGGGCCTCCTCACACAGCCTCAGCTGGGCCTTTCTGCTGTCTCCTCTCTGCAATCCCTGGCTGAAATAAGGGTACAATGCTTGCCGCGAAGGTGGGTGTCCCACAGAGTGCTTGTGGAGCACAGAGCCTGGCCCAGAGGAGGCAGGGCTTAGGAAGGACCCACCTTCATCCCCAGCCTCCCCAGCAGAATGGGGGAGGAGAAGGGTGACCTGCCATCCCCAGCCACCCAGCTGTCGCAGCCTCGAGCTGTTGGCGGGCTCTCCAGTTCTCAGAAAGCTCAGTTCCACATCACAGTCGATTAGTTACAAATAGCTTCCTCTCCTCGCCATATCACTTACAAAACAGAGAGAAAGGGGCGATTGTTCCTGAGGAGGAAGGCCTAACCGGCCCCTCTCACCAGGCAGCTGAGGAGGGGCTGGAAGGAGAAGGGGGGGCGTCGTCACAGGAAATAAGGATGTGGAGAGTCCGAAAGTTGTGAAGGGACAGGCAGAGTATTCTGGGTCCCGTGAGGGCAAGAAGGGGAAGCAACTATGGTGCCCGCTCACGAGGCTGACTCTAGGACAGTAGCTAGCCAAGTAGCCTCCAACTGGGAAGACTGGCCCCTCCACCTTCCCCCATCTCTGCCCAGGTTGGGCAGCCCCAGCCCTGCAGGTGCCAGGGCTCTGGATGTCTCAAGAACTTCGAACACTCCTGGGGCTAGAACAAAAGCCGTCCTTCAGAGCAACCATGACCTGTTAGTCCTTCAGCCTCTCTAATTTCAATAATGTCCGGACTGGGGCCTGGAGGGGCCCCCCAGGAAACTCAGAGAGGCTGCTGGATACAGGGCACTGGCCTCCTTGGGCTGTTGTGGTCCTTGACTTTGCTGCCACCACTAAGCCAGGTCCCTCCATTAAAGCATAGGCTGAGCACACACAGAGTACTCCTTTGTCATTCCTCTTAGCACAGCTGAGACCAGCTGGCATTTTCACAAAAGGCTTTACTAAATACTAAGGGAGAACAAAAGGGAAATAATTACAGAAAACACGAAAAACCCAGCCCCGGCTGCCAAGTTCCCAAAGTACAGGTTTCCATCCTTTGGTGACGACACGTCGCCCCAAAGGCCTGGACAAGGCCTCGGGCCACTCGCCTGGCCTCTCTGGTTCGCAGCCCTTGTGCCGGGTGCCATCTTGTTTCCTTCCCACTCTGGGAACCACTTGGTCACCCATGAGCACGCCTCTTGTCTCCCTTCCAACCCAGCTCCACCCCAGGCCCCCCACTGGGTTCTGGTCTCTGGCCCAAGGCGTGAACCTTGTCCCCTGGGGGGCTGGCAGGGCTGTGGTGACTGACCAAGGCATGATTACACAGTAACGGGAGGTTGTTCTTCCACACTCAGCCCCACCAGAGAGGCCCACCCAAGTTGTCTTGAGCATGGGGTCTAAGTGGACTACCTCTGCAAGCTAAAAGCCACTGGAGTAGAAGATGGGTAGATTTAGAACATTTCCCCTGTCGAAAGAGGAGTGCTTGTTTCCCGGGAGGACTGGCCCAATGCCAGGAATATGCAGTAAGCCTCGACGATATGCTGAGGCACCACACCAGGTGCTAGGGGTCTAAGGGCGACTAAGTGCTCTCTTTGCTCTTACAGGCTGAGAAAGGGGCAGTTATGATACTCAGGGCTGGATGCGCAGCCTGGCGGGGGCTGCTCAGGTGACTCTCGACATGGCCCCAACAATGCTTCTAGGCCTAGACCCTGGTGTACCCCTGTCTTTGCCTGACTTCCTGTGGCAGGGTCAGCTGTAGGCCTGGTGTGAGGGCTTTGCCCTCCCACAAGTACACCATTCAGAGTCTGGCAAGAACCCATATTGCTCCAAGAAGGGGAAGACCCATGACCTATACCGTCTTGCAATCTGGTTGGCAGATGCTCACTGGATCTGGATGCTCACTGGAAAGACTTGGCTTAATCCTCATCTCAGTTCCTTCTTCAGTAGCTAAATGACCAGGGGCAAAAAACTTAAGTTTTCTGTGCCTCCATTTTCCCATCTTCAAAATGGGACTCATCTCACTGGGTTGTAGGGTCGTTCTGAGAATTCAATGAATTGAAATGTTTCAAGCACCAGTCACATTGCTTGGCACATAATAGGTGTTCAATAAATAACAGTTCTTTTCCCAGCATAATAAATGACTGCAGTGATAAGCAGCTAAATATCAAATGGTGACCACTGACTCCACCTTTTCCTTCACCTCTATGCTAGTCAGGGCCTAGATGGTAACAGTGAAAGGATGCATGCGTGTGCCTGCACACAGCCTCCATCCTTTTGTTCCTCTGCAAATGGCAGAGGCATAAGATTTTTATTTTCTTAGGGTGTCCATGATGGATAGGACTCTGCTACTATTACTTAGCGTTAGTAGGAATCCAAAGTAGGTTAGAAGTCATGCCCAACAGCTACCATTTCCCACACCCCAGATGCTTTATCAATCCTTGCCTCTGAGGCAAGGACTGTCATTATTCCCACTTCTGTGGAAGAATTAAAGGAAGTTAACTGAGACCATCTGGTTGATTAGGACGGGAGTCACCATTCAGGGCAGAGCGCTCCAGCACCCCGCCCTAGGCCAGTCATGACACAAGTAAATGTCAATCTAACCATGGAAAATCCAAAGATTTACTGGTTTTGCCCCTAGTTTCCCTCACTAATTTACCTCACAACCCAACAAACCAGAGTTCAAAGACTGAAGTGTGTTTGTAGGAATCACAAACAACAAATAACTGGGTATGGAGCTCACTCTGCAGATGGGGAGCCGTGACAGTGTGCCAGCCCCAGTCACCTGTTCCACACGTAGACGGTCAGTCTGCAGGGGAATTTCCAGCACCTGAGGCAGTGCCCGGAGCATCAGAGAATTCAAACATTGTGCTGTGGAATGAAAGAATGACTACCAAATGCACGTACACAAGATATGTATCCTATATATATATATGATTATTGGAAAACATGCCCAGTGCTGAAGTGTTCAAAGCATTCGGCAATAGACAAACATTTGCAAAATAGATACTTAAAAACATGTACCTGCAATACAAACCAAGCCCATTACACAAATCCCATTCCAAAATAAGGGCACACAAAAACACCGGCACATGTTAATTAGATACACAGATGCTTAAAAACACGTAAGTGCAATGCACATCCAAGCCCACTACACAAATCCCATTCCAAAATAAGGGCACACAAAAACACCGGCACATGTTAACTAGATACACAGCTCTCACCCCCATACACACTCAGAGCGAGGTCCAGACACCCTTCACCATGACCCTGAGTCAGAAAGAGCCTGTCTGCCCTACAAGCCCTAGCATGTTGGAGCTCATCAGAAAGTTCTTTGCAGCCCCCCCTTAGCTGGCCAGTGACTGGCCCCTGGCTCTAAGACCTCCAGGCTTGGGGCTGGCCAGGCAGGAAGGGAGCACCTCTGGCAGCCCCACGTGGGTGGGCAGGCAGGCAGGCAGGCAGCGGACACAGAGGTCACTGGGGTGAGAGCCAGGGCCGCCCTGCCCTCTCTGCTGCTAGCTGGAATGCGCGGGCTAGGGGCTGCCTCCCTCCTCCCCCAGAGCCAACCACCAGCCCCAGCTCAACCCATGAAGCTAGACTCCTGTGACAGACCTCTGTTTCACAGCAGCCTTTCCCTCTCCTCCTGGGGCAGCCAGGAAGTGCTGTGAAGGCCACTCTCCAAAACCTAAGTGCTGGCCTCGCAGGGGAGCTTAAGAAAACTGCTTCCCGCAAGAGGTTGTCCTTCTGGACACCCCGCCGGTGGCTGCCCACAGCAAAGTTCTCTGCTGCTTGAGTGCCCAGTCAAGGGGGTGTGCATGGTGCAGACGCAGTTCTGGAGTTCCATGGCTTGGGTTTGTGTGGCAGTTACACTCACACGCACTCACACTGACACACACATACATTCTGAGAGCGTCTATGCCTGTACAGCACATACAACCACTCTGCGAACCTCAATTTCTTCATCTATAAAATGGGACTTCTAACCCTTTCACTGCTAAGGAGGGCAGAGATGGCCCTCTAAGGGCCAGAGTACCACCTTTCCTGGGCGCCTGGGCTGTAGCATCCGCAGAGACAGCTCTCGTCGTCCACAGACTCTGGGCTCCACACCTGGACGGTCCCACGCGACGGCTGACCTCGAGTGGGAGCAGCTCTGTGAGCCCTCACCACTGGCTGGCACCGGGCGACGCCTGGGTCGGCTGTTGCCCCAGGCACCGAGCTCACTAGCCCACCGGGCGGGGCGGAAGGGTATGGCCCCAGGCGCCCCTTTCTCGGAGAAGTCCAGCGCGCCAGGTCCGCGCCGGGCTCCCTGCGCGTCGCGGTGGGCGGGGCCTCGTTCAGTCCCGCCCCAGCCGCTGAAACTGGGTCTCGCACCCTTGATCAGCTCAGAGAGCTGCTGCTCTGCGAGGAGGAAACTGCATCTTCACCCCACGAGAGGACCTGAGGTGGCCAGGGGCGCCCGACGGAACCTCCCCAGGGACCCGCCAGCCCCACACCACAACGCCCCGCCACGTCCGGCACCTCGGCATCAGGCTCCCCAGACACAGCCTTACCTGCGGGCTCCACACTCCCCAGGGCTTCAAGAGGATGCTTGGACCGCCGGCGGGGACTTCGGGGCAGGAGTGAGGGGGGCTCTGGGCCCCCATTCAGCTCCTTTCCTCCTGAGTCAGGGCTCCCCCAGCGGGGTGAGCATGGTGGTTTTCCCTCCGAGCCCCCTGATTTGGGACGTCTGAGAAGATGCCTGCCATGAGGCTGCTTACTTGCTTCCTGCAGCTCCTGGCTGGGCTGGCGCTGCCCGCAGTTCCCCCCAAGGTAAGACACCCCACCACCCCGGTGTGGTCTCCTTATCTTCCCAGCCTCAGCACTCAAAGTAGGCAGCTCTGAAGTCACAGACCCACTGTGGGAGCGGCACTCCCAGGATGTCCACTCGCTGTTCAGGAGCCAGGCTGGACGACTGGTTGTCTGGAAAGAGATCTCACGCTGGGTTATCCCAGACTCCAGCCCAGGGTCTGTCTTGGTGGGGGCAGGGAAGCCACAGGGAAGGGAGGGAGGTTTCCTGTCTGGCCTCTGGAGCCCTGGTGGCTTTGCTAAAAGCATCTCTGCACTAATCCCAGACCGGTCCCTGGCCTTGTGATCAGGGTCGAGGCCCGTGACCAGGCAGGCACCCTCAGGACCTCTGACCTGGCCTGGTGGAGGAGAAGCCAGCTGAAGAGGTCATTGGTGGGGAGGCTGGGCCCCGCCCCCACCAGTGCGCCAGGCTGAGCCCATGACTTGACTCCTGGGTGGGCTGGGAGCAAGATGAGGGGCTCTTTCCTGGGTGGGCAGCCAGAACTCCTGAGTGCAGGGCCTGGGGAAGTGAACGGAGCCTTTTTTCCCAGGAGCTGGGTGAGTCTGGCCCAGAGCCAGCATGGGCAGTGAAATCCTGACAAAGCCAGTGAGTTCCCTTCTCACTGGGCTGTCCTGCAGCCTCAGGAGTCCCCAGCCCCAGCCCAAGCGTGAGCCGGCTGGGTAGCTTCTCTGGCTGAAGAGCTCCACCACCCACTGTCCTCCTGCTTCAGGGCTGGCCAGAGGTGTAATGTTACCCGAAGTACCAGCTCATGGCGCCACCCCACCCGCTGCAGCCCCTCAGCTCCCACCAGCTGATCACCTCCCCCTGGGTCTGGCACCCAGCCAACGCGGGCTGTCCAGGACTCACAGGGACAGACAGCCTGGGGGCTGGGCTGAAGGGAGACCCCACAGGATCACAGGCTCTTTGAGACAGAGAATGTCAAGGATCTCCAAGAGCCTCGAGCCTCCCACCCTTTCCAAATGAGGAAACTGAGGCCGGCGAGAGGGGCTGGACCCACCCTGGGTCCAGTTAGTTTGCACCTGGAAGGAGGCAGCTCTGAGACAAGGCAGAGTGTGTGCAGCAGGTGGGAAGGGGCTCAGAGGGGCTGCTGCTCTTGCCAACACTGGGCTCCCCGAGCGCAAAGGCCCAGGGTGGTCCCTCTCATCTCTGTACTTTTCTGTCCACAGCAGTGGGCCTTGGCTGCTGGGAACGGCTCATCAGAGTTGGAAGGTAAGCCAGCTGGGCTGAGTGTGCACGTGCTCGCCCGCTCTCCTCCCACCTCTGCAGAGGACCGGAAGGGGTTGACATGAAAAGTGGGCTCAGGGTGATACGTTGGGAGAGAGCCTTTAGCTGGCTGACCTCCTGGTTGATGAAGTCGGCAGGGCCTGAGAGATCCCCCCACTGTGACTCACGCCTAGAGAGGTGTATTCCTGGGGCAGGGTCACCCAGCACTCAGAGCAGGAGCTGGGCCAGAATAGCGAGGGCTCATCGGGTTGGCTCACGCCCCCTTCCCAGCATGATGTAAGGGGGCAGATGGAGTCTTGGAGGACAGTGCAGGCAATGAGTGCCAGGGCCAGACTGGGGGTCTGGGAGCTGAAAGCATTGGGCAAGCAGGATCAGGGAGGAGAAGATCAGGGAGGGGTGAGGGGACCTTCCCAGCAGCCCAAACCTGGCAGAGCTGCAGGGATCTGACCAGGCCTTTCCATTGATTACAAACAGACAGAACATGAGTCGCGCCCTCCCGGGCCCTCTACTCCCCATCCTGGGTTGCATCAAGAGGGAATCTTCAAAGGGAGAGACGTTTGCCAAAGAGACATACGTGCAGGAGGCCCATGCCAGGCCGCCTTCCTCGCTCCTCCCTCTCTGACTCTCCCGAGACGTGCAGGGAGGCCACACACCGCAGCCGAGGCTTCGCACGGTGCCGTGGGAGAGGGAGCACGTAGGGGCGTGCACACGCACTCGAGCAACAGCCTCTGCGAGCTGAGAACACCCTCCGGTGGCCGGCCGGCCGGCCGCCTCCCTGGCCCTGAATCCCAGACTCCCTGGGCACCGAGGAGGTGGGCGAGCAGACCTGCGCTTAGCTGGCCAGTGACTGCAGCACTTGCCCTCCGGAACAGGCGCAATGTTATTCTTCCTGGGACCTGGGGAGGACACACTGCCCACTGCCCACATGGCCTTTTTTTGCTGCCTTTAGTGTATGTAGTTCAGACCATAGCTACCCAAGACGTGAGAGCCTCAGTGTCCTCATCTGTAAAATGGAGGCACGCAACTACATGTTAAGTAAGGTTCTCTGACTCCATGGAGGAGACACAGGAATGTATGTTTCCCAGGGGCTGTGGGGATGAGGAGGCTTGGAAGTACAGATTGATGAGGACAGCTCATCTGTCAGCCTGATCAATCGGGGCGGCTGTATTGTAGCCCGAGGAAGGACAGTGAGGTGGGGCCCCAGGTTACCAAAATCTGAAAACGCCACCCGGTCCTGCTACCGCCGTGCAAGGGACAGCCATGATGATGATGTTCACTGTCACTATTCGTGGTGACAGTGTTAGGCGTTTACTAGAATTCTGTCCTGACCACAGACTGCATTACGAAGCATTGGGATTCTCCCTACCTGATGGATGAAGAGCCTGAGTGTTAGGCCCTTGGGGTCACCCAAAGCCTCAGCACCCCTCGATTCTATGTGAGTCTGGGTGTACTGCACCAGGCCTCCCAAGGCTCTCAGCTGAGCAGGCGTGAATGGGGGATCCCTTGGACAGGCTGGCTGGGTGCCCTGCCAGTGACCATGGAAGGCACACCTGCTGGGCTCGGGCGGGTGGCCAGCAGCTCTGCCCAGCGCTGGCCCCTCCTCGAGGGGCCTCCCCCGGAGCTTACTCTCAGGATTAAACATTTCCCTTCTTGGGTGGTAGGCGAGCAGGAATCTCACCCCCGGGCTGGCGAGGGAACTGAGAGCCCCGCTCGTGGCCAGGAGCAGCCCTTGTGGGGCCACCTGGCCCAGGCAGCGCAGTCTCCATTCCCTCTCACCCCACCCTGCCTCTGGAGCGGGTCTGGGTCTGGCTGCTCGCAGGAGTAGCCAGGCTTTCCTGAGGGGCCCACATCTGGAGCCGGCCCCTTTCCCCCGCTGGCCCCTCACCCTGCAGGCTTTGTTCCTCCCACACACCCTGTCAGGGAGCTCCAGGGGTCATCTGCCCTTTTTCCTGGCGGCTGCCAGGTGAACCGGGGCTAACCTACCTCCTCGCCTCCCCCAGTGGCCTGGCCACGTGGTGGCCCAGAAAGCCGTGGACTTCAGGGCCCTGAGTCTGGGCCCTGTAGGCTGATGCCTTCTGCATCGTGGGGTGTGGGTGAGGAAAGGAAATCCACTCTTGTGTTGCCACCCCAGGCCAGCGCTGCTCAGCTGCAGACCCTGCCCCCCGGGTGGGGGCCAAGGGGCGCTTCTCTGTCTTGCTGTCCTCTCCATGGCCGCTCCCGGAGCAGGGACTGGAGCCCAGGGTGGTGTGTTCGTGGCTGCCGCTGCCGCCACTGTTATTTATGTTTTCCAAGACAGAGATTAAATGTTCAGAGTTTCACAGCACTCTGCATTGCGCTCTGTAGCACTCATGAAGATTTCAGACTAAACATGTGCTCACGGAGCTGACGAGAGGGATGTGTTTCCTCCGACTTCACGCTGCAAAGGCGTCTTCCTGGGCTCTGAGGCTGCCAGTGGGGAGAGGGCCCTGTTTTTCATTTAGGTCCCATGTCCTGGTGAAGTAAAATAGGGGAAGCATCTGGACCCGCTCCCAACCCCAGCTCTTGCGCCTCCTAGGCAGACAGGGCAGAATGGAGCCGCAGACACCCCGATAAGCACAGCTGCCTGCCTCCGTGGCCCCCCTCGGAGGGGGGCCCAGGTGGACACACGGCCTCTTGGTGTTTTCCACCAGCTTGCAGTCGTTCTCATGGAGCTCTGGAGGGCTGAAGTTTATTTTTTCTACAGATTACCCTGAGACTCACATCCTTGTAAGCTCAGTGTCCCCTTTTACCTCCTAGGAAGGGGCTTGGAAGGAGGTGAGGGGCTGCTAGGTGAGACATTACTCCAGGGCAGAGGCTTCTGGGCCCCAGGGGGGTGACCCACTAGCTGAGGGCAAGCCATCAGGTGTGGGGCAGGATGACCCAGGGCCTGAGCTGTTTCTCAGCCCACAGTCAAGGCTGTGCCGGGTTTTGTGCACAGAACCACAGACCGTATGTCAGAGCCAGGAGAGACCTTAGCAACCACCTACTCCCAGCCCTCTTTCTCCCCAGCTGAGGAAACGGATATACCCAGAAAGTTAAGTGACCTCCCCAAGGTCACACAGCCAGTATAGAATCAAGACTAGAATCAGGTTTTCTGGCTCTGGCTACTCACTTTCTGCGAGCCTCTGGGACCAGGATCCCCGCCTCCCCTCTAAGAAGCATCATCTTTTGAGAGATGCCAGATCAGCCCCCAAAAGGCCCCTATCACAATCACCCAGATGTTTGGGGGTCAGGGATGTCCCTGAAAATCCGCAATGATCTAATTGATCAGTAATTACTTGGCCTGTGTTTATTGGGTACTTGGGTCTCTACCCCCACGGGGCCTCAGTTTGGTTTAAAGGAGATAAGATGAGCCCTCGGAGCCAGGTTATGCTCAAAGGAGAAACATATGTTCATCTAGAACAGAGGGGAAAGTTGCAGAGGGGAGGCAGGGAGGTGGGACTTGAGAAATGGGTGGTAGGCGTTGTTGGGTTAGAGAGGAGAAGGGAGAAGGAGCATAGTCCTCAGACCGAGGAGCGCAAGAGCCCAGAGGTGGAATGATGGTGATGCCATCAGGCTGGGTGCGAGAGTGGGGCAGGCATGTTGCTGGCTGCAGCCTTGGCTGCAGGCAGAAGAATGAGCCCAGCGTGGTGCCAGAAATAGGGACTAAGGGAAGGTGAACCCTCCCCGAGGGATTCTGCAAGTCATTCAGCAGAAATGATTTTTTTCTGCAAATTCCCCAAGATGAAGGAAGTGCCAGGTTAGGCCTAGGGAAGATCCAGAGGGCCTGGGCAGCTGCCAGGGCATGGTCCTCATAGCAACTAGGGCACCAAGGCAGAGGCCGGTGCCAGGGTAAGAACAGAGCAGCAAGGGGCCCTCCCTCGTGCCATGCCACAGCGGGTTAGGATGCAGCACTGTAAGCTGCCGCCTCAGCCCCAGCTCGATCCCCACACGGAGCTCACCCACATGGCCCACCCGCTGCTCCCCTCTGCAGTGTATCAGTCGGCCTGTTTTGCTCCCCACTCCATTGCTACTGAACCCTCTCACCGCCCCTGCACCTCTGGCCTGTACCCCAGTTCTGTATGCACAAATAAATAAATCTTTTAAAAGAACAGAGCAGGGAGCACGGGCCCTGGGAGAACACTCCGCTGGGATGGTTGTTCAGCAGAGGAGCTGTCCCAGAGGGTCCCATCAGGAGCTTTGACAGAGGGAGCTCAGCTAGGTTGGGGTCTTCCTGGAGCGGGCGGGCGCGGCCTGAACCCCGAAAAGCTCCGCAGTGCGCCAGGGCCGGGGCTCCGGCTCCCTCCGGCCTGACCCGCTGTCTGTGCCTCCCCTAGTGGTGCCTTTCCAGGAAGTGTGGGGCCGCAGCTACTGCCGGGCCCTGGAGAGGCTGGTGGACATCGTGGCCGAGTTCCCCAGTGAGGTGGAGCACATGTTCAGCCCGTCCTGCGTCTCCCTGCTGCGCTGCACCGGCTGCTGCGGGGATGAGAACCTGCACTGTGTGCCGGTGGAGACGGCCAACGTCACCATGCAGGTAGGGAGTGGCTCTCTCCGCCCTGGGGCTGCCCTGCCAAGCGGCCACGGCCCTGGCCACCAGCAAGGACCTGGAGAAGGGCGGAGGGCAGGCGGCATACAGGCCTGGAATTCTCACCACAGAGCCCATCCCTTACCAGCCGGGTACAGGGCCCTCCCTCCTGCCCGCCCCGCCTGCCCCCTGGCTTGGTGCCTGCTCTCTCACTCTAGCTTAGCGCTAGCCCAAGTCCCAGGCTAGCTGGCCGAGGTGGGAAAGGAAATGGAGAAGCCCTGTTTGCACCAGGAGCACTTGGTGTGCTCCGGCAAGTTCACAGACACACATCGCCTCTTCCCCCACGGGGAGAGTAGAGGAATGTTGGCCGCTCAAGCACTGATCCAGCTGTCCAACCTCTCCGCAGCTCCTGAAGATCCGCTCTGGGGACCCGCCCTCCTACGTGGAGCTGACGTTCTCTCAGCACGTGCGCTGCCAGTGCAGGTAGGTCCTGGGGCGAGGCAGGCAGGCTGTGCACCTGGCACCCGAGTTCAAGCTGCTGCTCAAGTGCAAGCGGCTGCTCATCCTGTCCTTGCTGCAGGCTGTCCTTCCTTCCTGACTGAGGGACACCAGAGAAGTTGGGGACCAAGGGAGTAGCACCCATCAGTTTTGCCTGGGGAGGTGGTGCCAGTGCCTGGAGCACAGCCGCTGAGACATCATGGGTGGAAGAAGCCTGCATCCCTCCCAGATGCCAGCAGCAGTCGGGGGTGGGGGGGATCCCCTCTCGGAGAGGGGGGGGCAGAGGCAGAGGTGCGAGGGTGCAGGGAGGTTTCTTTAAAGTCACACCCTACCCCGCAGCGCCTCTGACCTCACCAGCAGTGCAGCCCATTTGGACCCTCTGCACAAGGGTTACCAGGAGAGCAGGCCTGGCACTGCCAGCCAGACTCCAGGAAGAGCTCGCCTGGGCCATGAGGAAAGCCCTAGACTGGAGGCCCCAAGCCCTGTCGTGGAGCCAGGAGAGGGGGAAAGATGACCATTTACTGTGCATGCACTCTGCCTAGCCCCATGCTAGGCCCTTAAATGTGTCTTCTCATTCATTCAACAACCATTAGTCGAGCACCTGCTGCATGCCAGGCAGTGCCGCTTGGGACACAGTGGTGAGCTAGACACCCAACACCCCTGTTCTCATCACCACCCTAAGTGGTATGTTCTGTCATCGCCCCCTCTTTAGAGATGGGCAAACTGAGGCTTGGTTCAATGACATGACTTGTCACAGGTCTTCTAACCCTTAAACTTGTCCATGCCACCTTTCATGACCAGCTCCACACTGTCTGGGAGCCCCAGTGTTGCCTGGCTTTGCCCTGCGGGTGTCCAGGGCTCTGGCTGTCCTTTTGGGGCTCTGGGCTCCCTCCTCTCTGCTCCCTCCCCTCTCTCCCAGGGCTTAGACCTATAACAATAGCTTAGTAATGAATGTCCTCCCACCCCCAGCACATGGCCAGACAGTGACCTTTCACCTTTCACATCACCTTTGCCCTCACAGACACTCCAGTGGGACAAGCAGACTGAGCATCCGCGAGTGTCCTCGAATTGCCCGAGTTGGAAGAGACATGACAGACAGTCCCAAGGGGCCTTGGTACTCTGCCCTGACTCCTGGGGAGACAACCCACCTAGAGCAGCATTCTCTGGCCCCAAAGTCAACTGTTACCATACTGTTCCCAGGGAAGACAGAGGTTCTGTCCCCTTCCAACTGGCCGGGCAACAGGGACACCTTTCTTCTCACTCTGGGATCACAGCCACAGCCCCAGAGACAGAGCCAGGGCATGCCTGGAGTGGGGGGGGGCTTGTGCTCCCCTCTAATGCCCACCCCGCCCCCCTGCCATCCTGCAGCTCTACATATCCTCACAGCAGGGTGACAGCTGTGTCCTGACAGGCAGCTTTAGCTGGCCGCCAGCCTCCTCAGGCTTTGCCCCTCACTCTCCATCCTGGGGGAAACTCCCTGGGTGCAGCCTGGCAGGAAGGGCAGGCAGAGGATGGCCGTGAAAGGAGAAAAGCAGACCCCAGGTTTGATGCCGAGAGGCTGAGGCATGCAGAAGGGTATGAAGGGGTGTTCCAAGAGGGGATGTGCGCCTCCCTTAGAGGGGTCACCAGGGCCGGGAGAGGGGAAGCTCAGGCCAGGGAGGGCTGGCCCTCTCTCCCTCGCTAGCTCCATGCTGCCCTCTAGTGGCGCCAGCACCAGCTGTAAGACCTTGTACCGGGGAGGGGAGATGGAGGGTAGCGGGAGCCCCTCTTTTCCTCTTTCCTCATTTCCTCTGCCCCTCTCTCTGTTTTCTCCAGGCCTCTACGGGAGAAGATGAAGCCAGAAAGGTAAGTGGCCTGGCTGGGGCTCCAGGCAATTCTTGGGCCTGCCCCCTGTCCTAGCGTGAGGGCCCCCAGCTGCTTGGTCCTGACGCTTTTGGCTTATTGCAGGAGGAGACCCAAGGGCAGGGGGAAGAGGAAGAGAGAGAAGCAGAGACCCACAGACTGCCACCTGTGAGTGCACGGGGTGGGGCCAGGGATGGCAAGGAGGCTGGGCCAGAGGGGCGTGCCAGACCTGCCAACAGGGTCAGCGGTGGGGAAGGGGAAGCAAGGCCAGCAAGGAAGCCCTGGGGTGCAGTATAGAGAGCGCCCCTAGGGCCCCTAGGCCCAGGAGACCGTCTCAGCCCTGAGCCTCTAGCGGCCTTCTCCACAAGTCAGGTCAACTCTGTGCAGAATGAGAAGTGAGGTGGCCCACTGAGCTCAGCCTTTGTGCAGACTTACCAAGCACTTACTGTGGGCCAGGACTCGCTGACCAAGCCCACAAGCCCACAAGCTCTCTGCTCTTGCAGCGTTTCCAGTTGGTGATGAAAAGTCTAGGAAGGCAACCCCCGCTGGCTCTTAGGCCAGCATTCCAGTCCCTGTCCTCCCAGGGGGTCTTGGGGTCCACTTGCTTCCTCCTCCTTCGCTCTTCTCCCTGCCCTTCTTGGGGGTGCTTGGAATTCATGAGGCCTGAGTATGGGGGGAGAGTACTAGAGAAGGGAAAGCCCAATGTGAGTAAACTGTAAAAGCAAACTATTTCACGTGCACAGTTGAGCAGCCACACCAGGGTCCCCCTTCATGGCCCAAGTGTCCAGGAAGCCATTTCAGGCTGAGCTGACCCAGGTCGGTGGCCATTAGCTGGCCCCTCCATGAGCAGAGACCCCCACCTGGCTCCTCTAAGGCATGGGGTTCTGGGGAAACTGGTCACCGGGAGGCCTAGGCACACGGACCCTCTCCTCACCCAGGGCCCAAGCAGTGACGGGGTGGCAATGGCGGTGTAGTCAACACGGGGCTCCCCCCACACCCCCATGGGCCGTGTCCTATCTGCCAGGTTAGTGGCCTCATTTGGGAATCTTCAGAAAGAATTAAAAACATCCATGGGCCACCTTGCTCATTTTTAAGTTGATGTTGAATTTTTTTCATCATAATTGAAAGTTGCTGAAATATCGAATTTCTGGTGTGTTTTAAATATTAATGTTTTAACATAAAGCCATGATAGAGCTCTCCAGTGTGGCCACCATCCACTTTTTAAAAACTGAAGAACAGCAGCAAAAAGAATACACAAATGCCTTCTGCTAATAGGTGCATATTTACATTGCTTCTTTTTTCCTTGAACTTGTGTCTCTAGTTCATTTCCCCAAGAATTTCAGTCTAGTGTAGCACATTGAATGTCCAAAATTCCTTTATTTGTTGCCTTGTCATTTTTTTTTTTAAAGATTTATTTGTACATACAGAACTGGGGTACAGGCCAGAGGCTTAGGGGTGGTGAGAGGCTTCACCAGAGACAGAGTGGGGAGCAGAACAGGCAGATCTACGAAGTACACTGCTGAGGGGAGCAGCAGGCGGGTCAGGAGAGGTCTGCCACGCCATGTGGTCACCTCCGGGGCAGGCGGGAATCGAACTCATGCGGAAGTGGCTTTAGCTTCTCAGTGCTGTGCTTTAACCCGCTGCGCCACCAGGGAGGGCCTGCCTTGACATCTTTACTAGCCACAACCATGAATCTGGATTATTTTAAATGTCCTATAAGTATGAAATTAGGAATTGAATTTTTCTCCTGAAGTGAATCATCACAGTAATGAGAGTAGTAGTCAAACAGCGCGAGTAGGTCACGTTTGGATCAATGCGAGACAGGATAAAGTGCGCTCAGCCAACGAGCTGCATGGCTACCGCTACAATCAGTCACGAACCTGTTTGTGACTGTTCTCTCCTGCCAGCACTAAGATGGAACTCGGCACGAATTCCACTTCTGTTTACCTACTTGTATAGGTTAGAAGGCTGGAAAACCATGGCCCATAGATAACTAAATGGGGTGAATGTTCCTCCTCCGTCATTTGAACTTCTTCCAAGTTATTTGTCCCAGAAAACCCACAAGGTGATCTGGAAACAAAAAACACTTCTGATGACATCAACTGACAGTTGGGCCAAGCACTTCAATTTTGTTGAAAACGGAGACTTGGAAACCACCTGACTTGCAGAAGTCTCGGTTGCCCAGTCATCTGCCTATTTCCTTTCTCGGTGTCTATCCCAATATTTTGAATTGCTCTTTAGTCAGTGTCCAGCCAACCACCCCATGCTGTTACTAGGAGGAAAGGCTGTCGTGGGATTTGAAATGAGCTAAAGTGGAGCAAGCTAGTGGAAAGCAGCATTCTCATACAGATAGTCTTGGGGGAGCCCATGAGGGCCTGAAAACAGGTTACTTATAGCCATCAATACTCACATACACCTTCCTGTACCTGTGGCCCTTTGGCAGACTGCGGCCCAGATCGCAGGTGCCAGACCATGTCTGCAGGGAGGCAGACAGGGCTCGAGACTGGCTCTGTACCAGACTAGATGTGTGACCTTGGGCTGTTTCTTAACCTCTCTGAGCCTTTGCTCATTTGTATAAGGATGGTAAAAACAGTGCTTTCCCCCACCGGTATTCTAAGGTGAACTGGTGCGTAGGTAGGGCTAGGCCCAGGTGAGCGCTCTCCCGGCTTCATGTTGGCTTCAGTGCAAGGAGAAGGCTGGGTGCTGCCATCTTCCCGTGCCCTGCCTGGGCTTCCTAGGGTCTGTTCTGCAGGGCTCCCCCTCCGACATAGACTGATACCCCTTCTCTGTGCTTGGTCTCTGGCAGGTGCGGTGACACTGTTCCCCGGAGGTAACCAGCCCCACGGAGGAGAGACCCCACACCCGGCTCGTGTATTTATTACCGTCACACTCTCAGTTACCTCCCTGCGGGCACCTGTCCTCTATTTATTAGCCAATTGTATCCCTGCTGAATGACTCGCTCCCTCCAAGCTGAGGGGCAGGGAGGCATAGGACCCTCAGGAATTCTGTGCCTTAAACAGAACGTGAGAGAAAGAAAGAAGGCAGCCACATACCGCGTGCGCTTCAGCTGGGGAAGAAGTAGGCCCTGTGGCTTTGTGACGGGCAGGCCAGGCCCCAGAAACCCCACAGGTCTCCAGAGAGCCAGAGAGAGAAGGAGAGGGGGACCCAACTCGCGTTGCTGGCTGGGGCTCTGCCCTCCAGCAGCCCTGGCTGTGGGAGTCCGGCTGGGCGGGGAACAGGTGGGCTGGAAGGTCTGTCCACCTCCCCCTCTTGGCTGCCCTGCGCCCTGAGACCAGAATGTTCAGCTCTGGAGAACAGTCGTTGCCTGGGGGCCTCTACCACCCCTCATCCCCTCTGGTCTCTCCTCACATCTTGCCACTGCTTGTGCTGGGACATTGTTCTTTCTGGCCACGGCACCACCATCATGCCCCCTCAGGGACACAGGCAAAGAGCGGGCCCCAAGCTGGACGCGGAACAAACTGCCCACCCCCCATGGCTGTCTGACTGCCAAGCCAGTTTCTCTTGAATAAAGTATTCTAGTCTGGAAACTGCTTCTCCAGGGGGTGTGTCTGGCGCCACCACGGGCACAGCAGGAAATACAGGAAACAGGACAGCAAGAGGGAATCACTGGCGCCCTAGGGTGGCTCCCGCCTGTTCTGGCTGCAGCCTGGAGCATCTTCCCAGCTGCTTCACAAGGGCGCACTGGGCCCCATAGATCCCCTGGTGAAGAGCTCTCAAGATGCGTCTTTAAGCTGGGGGGTGCTGGGCCAGCCACCCCCCAATACCCTCACATTTAAGAGCAGCTGCCTTCCTCTCCCCCCTCCCCTGCCCACCTCCAGCTCAGGGCCCAGCCCTCCGCACCCCAGTGAGTGGGGTTCTGAGGTGCTCCTCCCTAGCCCCAGGGCTTGAGCTGAGCCCCATCATTCACTGCTCTCCTCCTGAACCCTTGAAAGGGGGAAAAAAATCTTTTTTCTTCTTTCAGTCCCATCCATTTACTATATCAGACTCCGATCTGCCTTTGACCCACAAGGGGTGTGTGTGTGTGTCCTGTGCCATGTGTGTTGTGTGTTTGTGTTCTGTGGAGGGTTTGTGTGTGTGTGTGTCCTGTGTCTGTGTATGTGTGTGTGTCTTGTGCCTGTGTGTGTGTGTTCTGTGCAGGCTGTGTGTGTGTGTCCTGTGGTTGTGCAGAAGAGTTCCCCATTCTCTCTCATTTGAGGCTTCTCAGGACAGACGCACGGGAACCTGGAGGCAGGGCCCGCCTGGGGCTTTGGAGGGAAGCCATGGATGTCCCGTGGGGTGGGGTGGAGCGCTCCTGTGGAGGCAGCTGCCCTTGGCGGTCTGTTCACCAGGCCTGGGCCCTCCCGGCAGACGCTCTGGTCAGAATGTGCTTCTGGCTGGTGATCACAGAGGGGGTGTGGGCCAGACCCAGGGGACCTGCTTTGCAGAAGAAACACACTTTCTCTCCTGCTTCTCCACTCTCAAGGGCTACAGCCCTTCTGAGCCGTTGCCTTTGATGGACTGAGAACTGAGCAGAGCAATCTTGCTCCTTGGCCAGGTCTCTAGCTCAGCTCCAGGCCTGCCCCAGCCAGCCCCTGTAGCATCTCCAAAAGTCAGCTCCACAGGGAGCCCAGCCTCCCCACCAAGGCCAGCGCCCTCTGCAGTGAGCCAGACAGAGGTTAGGGGAGCTCCTGGAGGCCAGACGCAAAAATCTGCATTCAGGGTCAGAAGCCTCTCAGCAGGAATGAGAGGAAAGAGACTGTTAATTAGCTCACTTGACATGTGGGAAGTCCTTTCAGAGCATTTCAGGTCCTTTTCCTTTGCTCTTTATTTATTATGGGGCACCACCTGTACACCTACCCCTGTTCTAGATTCCATGGCAAATAAACCACGTAAAAACCGCAGTCTTATATTTGAGTGGGTACATAGACCACAATCACTTATCACAGGATATGAGGGGGGCTTCATTGTGGCTCACATTGGTGACTGGACCCAGAACTGAGGACAAAAGGATCTTGAGTACCCCACACTCTAAAACAAAGAAGAAACAGTTTGAGACTAGACACATCTGCCTACAGGATTTATTAAGAGACAGCTGAAGTGATTCTGCTAGGCCCAAACATCACTCAGCACTCCACTCCTCAGGCACCGCAAGGGAAGACCAGAGAGGGCAAGGGCCCTGGGACCTAGGTGCTGGCCCCGTCCCCAAGCAGGGGTCGCCATTCAAATTAGCCCATGCGCCATTGATGGGAAAGGTAGGCCAGAGAGTGGGGCTCAGGGTCAGAGAGGGGACACTTGGGGGCATGGGCAGGAGCTCCTCATGCATCAGATGACATGGTGGCATGATCCTCTGCGAGGCCATGAGCCTCTCAAGAAGGAGGAACCCCACAGACTAGGCTACAGTTGTAGGGCTGGCACAATAGCTAAGTGGGGGTGTCAGAAGAAGCACTTCAGGGAGCAGTGCTCCAGGTGGCACTCCAGGGGGCCCACAGGAGTGTTGGCATCCAGATGCACATCCTGTGGGTGCATTCATTACAGAGGAGAAATGGCCACAGGGAAGAGGGGCTATTGCTCTGTTTCTGCTTTGTGACTCCATGTGAAAGAGAAGTGACTGGAGCGGGGAGGAGGGGGAGGCATGCAGAGCAGTACATGGCCCCTCCCCACCTCCTTGGGCCAAATCCCGGTCCTGCCTCCTGGAGGAAAAGAGGTTAGTCCTAAATTAGATGGACTGGCATAGATAGGGCTGGATCTTTAATAAATTAAAATGACAAGAACATTAGCAGTTCTGCCCAAGATGCTATTAAGAGACAGGAAAAGAAGAATCAACATAGTTCACCTCAAAGCAATGAGGAGGGGAAGGAATTGGCTTGTTTGGACCGCCTCTCTTTGCTCAATAAGCAAATCACGTATGTAGACCAAGAATTTAATAAGAAAATATCTTATTGCCAAAATGTGATTTTGGCATATTAGAGATGGCCTTGAATTTCTCCTCTCAAGAGGTGAGAACTCTGTTCCCTCCCTTTGAAGCTGTGTTGACCCAGCTCTGCTTTCACCAGCACAGCATGGCAGAAGAGACCCTAACATGGCTCCAAGTTCTTTCAAGAGGATTGGCAGCTTCTGCCTTGGGCCTTTGGAGCCCAGAGCTACCAGGTAAGACATCCAACTAGTATGAGGTTACCATATTGGAAGGAAGCCCAAGGTATGTGCATATACATATATGTATGTATGTACACACACGCACATGCTTAGAGAGAGAGGGAGGAAAGATGCTCAGCCAGCCTCTAGTTGTTCCAGCCCTGTGCCATGGCAGCGACCTCATCAGAGGCCCCAGACCCGGAGGAGCAGAGAAGAATGGCTCCCATCTCACTCAGGTTGATTTCCTGACTCACAGAATCATGAGCTATAATGATAATACATGTACTATAATACATTGGTAAGAGTGTTGGAAGGGAGGTACTCTAGGCTAGGAGGTCTTGGAAGGCCTCTTTGTGGAGGTGATATTTATGGTGGAGTTTGAAGGACAAGAAGTTGGTCATGGGAAGAGCACTCCGAACAGGGCAGTGCTGATGCAAGAGCCAACAAGAAATTCCAGTTGGAAGGAGCATGGTGAGCAAGGGAGGAAAGGGCAGAAGTGGGGTTAGGGGTAGGGAGGGTCCAGATCATGAAGAGCTTGGCAACATCAGGTAAAGGCTTGAGCTTTGTACAATAGGGAAGGAAATCTTTGGAGGTTTCACACAGGTGGTCCAGGCTGGAATGAAACAACACTCTATACATTTTTGAATGATTACCCTGCCTTTTGCGTGGAGAATGGATTCCAGGGGGACAAGACTGGGGGTACAAAGGCCACTGGGAAAGCTGTAGAACATCTAGGCAACAAATTACAATGGCTTGGCCTAGGAAGAAATGATGGCGATGGAGAGACATAGATAGCTTGGTCTTCATTATGCATGTGGGCTGGTTACCCATGGGCTCACTCATGAACATGAGTCTACTAGGACTAGGCATTTGTGGGAGATACCTGAGCACGATGTATCAGCATATGAAGTTAAGACCATGTTAGGGTCTCTTCTGCCATGCTGTGCTGGTGAAAGCAGAGCTGGGTCAATGCAGCTTCAAAGGGAGGGAACAGAGTTCTCACCTCTTGACAGGAGAAATTCAAGGCCATCTCTAGTATGCCAAAATCACATTTTGGCAATAAGATATTTTCTTATTAAATTCTTGATCTACATACGTGATTTGCTTATAGAGCAAAGAGAGGCGGTCCAAACAAGCCAATTCCTTCCCCTCCTCATTGCTTTGAGATGAACTATGTTGATTCTTCTTTTCCTGTCTCTTAATAGTTTCCTCCACTTACTTAAGAAACTGCAAGATATAAGGAGAATAAGGAGTGAGATCCTGGCTGGAGAGGCTAAGCTGATCTACCTAAGAACTAAGAGAGAAGACAAATAGGAAGAGGGGAACAGACCTTAGGGTTATGGCAAAAGAGGGCGCTTGCTGTGGAGCTTCTGATGATTTAGGTTAAATTGGGGGTGAAGGAGTGGCTTTGGGGGGAAGGGCTGCCACGTTTCCCTGATGCTGAAGGCCTGGCTTTCTTCGAGAGGCTCACTAGATGAGACATGAAACAGAGATGCAGCCCAGTGGATACTGGGATTAGCTAGGGTCAGAAAGAGACCAGCCCTGCCTTTTTAAAAGTTTGTCAAAAGAACCAGATAGGCACAGGTGATTGTAATAGAAGGAAAGAAGGCCAGTAGCTTAAGTTAAAGCAGATGAAGTGCTTTAACTTAAGATGAAGGAAACCTGAGATGGCTGAGATGACTTACATATGGCGAAAATCAGGGCCGGCTTTTCAAAGCCAGAGGCATTTGAGCTGTGACTTGAGGAGTGGACAGGACTGGTAGTGAGGACAGGGCTGGGAAGGTGGTCCAGGCCGAGGCAGCGCACTAAGCAGAGACACAGGAGGAAAACCTATAGCTGTAGGCAGATTTTCAAGAGATTCAAAAGCAGAATCTGGCAAATAAGTCTGGAAGAAGGGCTAGAGCCAGATGCTCCTAGAGAATTAAGGTTCTGTTAGGCAGTAGGAAACCCTAACATTTTTTAAGCAGAAGAATGACAAGATGTTGGAATTCCAAGACTGAAAGAAAATTGACAAATAATTCATTCCACCTCCTCCTTTTACGAATGAAGAAGCTGAGGCCCAGGCCTGTCTCAAACCATAAAAGTTAAGTGATGGGCCCTCGCTGGTGGCGCAGCGGGTTAAAGCACAGCACGGAGAATCTAAAGCCGCTTCCGCATGAGTTCGATTCCCGCCTGCCCCGGAGGTGACCACATGGCGTGGCAGACCTCTCCTGACCCGCCCGCTGCTCCCCTCAGCAGTGTACTTCGTCGATCTGCCTGTTCTGCTCCCCACTCTGTCTCTGGTGAAGCCTCTCACCGCCTCTGATCCTCTGGCCTGTACCCCAGTTCTGTATGCACAAATAAATAAATCTTTAAAAAAAAAAAAAAGTTAAGTGAGCCAGAATTCAAACATTTACCAATAAATAAC